TGTGAAGATGGACTAATACATTGTCCCTACCTTGTCGGTCTCCCTTTATCTTTTCCAGGTGTGACCCCCTCTTCTTCATACACTCCTAATTCCATCAGGGTGTCTGCTTCATGGAGAATCCAAACTGATACCCATACCTACTATGGATATGCTTACTTAAATATACAAAGCATTTATGGTATATTAAAGTATACCACGTGCCCAAAGAGGCAAAGTGCTATGCTGGGTTTTGCATCAGAGAAGATGGATGAAAATCCCAGGCAATAATCATAGAGTGCCTTTGAGCTAGTGTCTTATTCTTTTTTTTTTTTTTTTTCTCCTGAGACGAAGTCTCACTCTGTCGCCCAGGCTGGAGTGCAGTGGCACGATCTTGGCTCACTGCAATCTCCGCCTCCTGGGTTCAGGCAATTCTCCTGCCTCAGCCTCCTGAGTAGCTGGGATTACAGGTGTGTGCCACCACGCCTAGCTAATTTTTGTATTTTTAGTAGACACAAGGTTTCACCATGTTGGTCAGGCTGGTCTCGAACTCCTGACCTTGTGATCCACCCGCCTCGGCCTCCCAAAGTGCTGGGATTCCAGGCGTGAGCCACTGTGCCTGGCCGAGCTAGTGTCTTATTCTTAAGGTGAGGATGATCATGGCGATGCCTGATGGGACTGTGTGAGCAGTAAATGAGATAACCATGAAATGGATTTCTAAATTATTAATCACTGTATTACTTTCAGTTATCACTATTGTTTTATAATTTCAAGCAATTTTGCTTATCAATTACCAGCTGATTAATTAGCATTCCTTTATAAATATTTATTAAGCCTTCACCATATAACTGGTACTGATCTAGGAACTGAGGAAGGCAAACTTCCTGCTTTAGTAAATCTCACATTTTCTAAATTAATCAAGTAAATATAAGTTGTATTTAAAATAAACTAAGCAACAGGTCACTAACACGGGTGGTCCTATCTGTGGCTGGGTTCGATTCTCATAGCAGTTTGGATTCGTCCCAGGATTTGTCTTTGTTGATGTTTCTTGCTGAGCTGCCTTTTCTTTCTTTCAGTTTCACCATCCTTGATGCTGTGAATCCTGCAGGGAGCTAACAGGATGGTGCAACAGCTTCTCACTACACCTACGGCTCAGCGGGTCCCGCCGCTCGCTTTATACACTTGTGATTTTCTCTTTGCTTCTCTCTCCTATCTGATCCCCTTTCCCTGAACGCTTGCTACATCTCCCCTCTCTGCCCCCTATTTCTTTTTTCTTCGCTTTTGCTTTACTCCTTTTGCTGCCCCCTTCGGTGGGAGACCCCTCTCTCTGTTTTTTCAGGTAGCCTTGTTTATATAGAAGAACAAACTTCTGGTCCAGAATACACCAGCAGTACACAGGAAGACACCCCTCCCAGGAAACAAGATACCGACACTTGTAGCCACAGGAATCAACGCATGTCTCTGCAACACTTCAAATTAACCAGGCCTCCACCAGGCAGAGAGGGATGTAGCCATACAGGCATGGTCAGGGCCAGCTTATCACCATTCACTGGGCTACTGGCTGCAGTGTGGCTATGCCGAGTGAAAGCCAAATGTCTGCATACCAGCAGAGCCCTCCAGTCCAAAACACGGATGGCTCACTATATTCCTCACGCATAATATTTGAAATTTAAAAAAAAAATCTTTTACCCTAATGTCTAGTAGGCTATTGAACAGTGGCTATCAAATTTTTGTACCATGCTCTAAAGTTAGAAATAAACGTGTGCGTAAATATATAAACACATATACACATATGTATATATTTATATACACAAGTATCTTTACATTTAAAAGTTTCATAAAACAATACTTACCCTCATTACATGAGGAGCTCAAATTTTTAAATTTCATTATAATCTATCTTCATAGCTTTTTAAAATGCTGGTTTTGACCTAGAGATTTTTAATCTTGTGTGTGTATATGTGTATATGTGTTTATGTGTATGTATATCTGTGTGTGTGTGTGTGCATGTGCCGTTTCTCCCCCATGTACTGAAGACTATGGATCCTTTCTTGGACTGTTTTTAAATGCATGAAGCAAAACTCACAGGCTTACAAAGGAAATCAATGATATTGAAATACAATTCTATCCTTGGTCCTCTAGTGGGGAGAGGGCAGTGTCCATGGACCCCAGGTTAAGGATCCCTCCATGGGTAAATTGATTTCCCAGCTGACTGCTGAGCTACAACCTGCAGTTTGGAAAATACGGCTGTGCAAAGCCTCAGAACATTTTGTGGTAGTTAAATATTTCAAATGCTTATTGTCCTGTCATGGTTTCAACCCTCTCTTTCTTTTCCCTCCCTTTCCCCATGCTCCCCCTACCCAGTCACCCACACATCCCCACATGTACATGTATGCACACTCACATACATGCACACACATACATGTGGCCACATATACACATACACAGAGGCACACACCACACACATGCACAGGCACACACATGCAGATCTTAGGCCACATATCTGGAATGAGACGAGGCACAAGACCACTGGGTCCAGCCCCTCGCATGGCCCCAGTCCCACTCCCTGACTGCCTCTGACTCGCAGCTCCTCTGGCTCCTGCCTCACAACTACTCCAGTGGCTCATTATCTCTGCAGGCCAGTGCTCACCCTCACGGCTTTCTTGTTTTCTTTCACAGCGTTAAGAGCCAATAGGTGCATTCTGCCCCGTAATAGTGGTACAGATAGTGGTGGCGGTGGCGGCACAGCCCAGAGCCCTCGACCTTTATTTTTTCAGGCTCCAGTGAACCTTCTGTGGCAGGTGTTTCCCTTTTATAGACCCAGTTCCTCCCTAGGTCACTCCAGGCTGCAGCTGAAGCTCTCACTCGGCTCACAGTGGTACTAAACACACTGCCCCCCAACGTGGCACAGCCTAGCGAGGTCGTGCCAGGAGGAAAGCTGGTTGCTGCCACAACCGAGTTACACGGTTACCTTCTCCAATGGCTTGCCACTGTCGTTTCCTGCTGCCATAGCAAAAATGCCCAGGGCAAACTGTTTTCCCCTTTGCATGTAGGAAGATGATGTTTGTCTGAATTGATTCCAGGTAATGGACAGTGATAGTTCCCTTCTCTTGAGGTATGTTATAGATTGAAGTGTGTCTCCTCCCAAAAAGATATTATTGGAGTCCCAACCCCTAGTGTTTCAGAATGGGACCTTATTTGGAGATAGTGTGTTTACTGAGTAATCAAATTTAAATGAGGTCATTAGAGTATCTAATCCAATAAGACTAGTATCTTATAACAAGGTGAAGTTTGGACACAGAGACAGACATAGAGGGAAGACAATGTAAAGAGACATAAGGAGAAGGTGGCTGTATTAGTCCATTCTGACGCTGCTATAAGGGCATACCCAAGGCTGGGTATTTATAAAGGAAAGAGATTTAATTGACTCACAATTCAGCATGGCTGGGGAGACCTCAGGAAACTTCGAATCCTGGCAGAAGGTGAAGTAAACACGTCCTTCTTCTTATGGTGGCTGGTGGCCAGAAGAGGAGTGAGTAAAAGGGGAAAATTCCCTTATTGCATCTCCTGAGAACTCACTATCACAAGAACAGCGTGAAGGTAACTGCCCCCGTGATTAAATTACCTCCCACCAGGTCCCTTTCATGACACCTGGGGTTTATGAGCACTACAATTCAAAATGAGATTTAGGTGGGGACACAGCCAAACCGTATCAACGGCCATCTGCAAGCCAACGAGAGAGGCCTGGGACAGATACTTCCCTCACAGCTCCCAGGAGGAGCCAAACCTGCCGACACCTTAATTTCAGACTTCTCGCCTCCACATGGTGAGACAAGAACAGCAACTTGGCCTGTGTTCTCTGCCCTTGAGGTTGAAACGGGGAGCAGAAGGTTTTTTTCCCCCGTGTTGCAGCATGGAGTTCTGAATGACAGATGAAAGGCTGCTCACCCACCACGCCCATGCTAAGCCTTATGGCTTCATGGGGTTCAGGCTTCCTGTGTTCAGTCTTCTGTGTTGCCAGAGAAATTTGCATACTCCCATGAACAAAGAAAGCAGCAGAGGAGAAAGAAGAGCTTACAGTCACTTCCTCTTTGGCATGAGAGCAAGTCTGAATGCTCTAGAGTTGATTCTATTAGAAAAACTCTCTGACCCCAAATATGAATAGTTTCACCACACCCAATACTCATCATTTTTAAAATAGATGTTCTGAATTTTACCCTGACTAGTAACCTAAAGACTTCAATTTCTTCTTTTTTTAAATCATGCTCTACAGTAAGAAATGCAAACATACAGACTAGAGAGGGCCACAGGGGTGTTTGATCCCATTGCTTCATGTAGCAGGAAGACACTGAAGCCCTGAGAGGGGTTAGAACTTGTCCAAGGTCACACAGCAGGCAGAGCAGGTCAGGGCCTCAAACCCCTATCTTCTGCCCTCTCCTCCCAAGGCCTCCATCACTAACACCCTGTCATGGCCCATTAGCAATCCCATATCTTGAAAATTAATTTTTTTTCCACTCACACTTTACTGCCCTTCCCTCCTGCAAGCATTTGGAAGTTGAAAGGTCACAGCAGGCTTTGTGAAATCAACCAGAAGAACTGAAAGGAAGCTGATGACAAAAAGTACTTCAAAACCTCTGTTTTCATGAAGACAGCTTCCCCCCACCCCGATCAAACTGAATTATTCTTTTTATTTTTCTGGTACTCTTCTCATTGTGGATTTTTAAATGTGTTTGAAATAGTTCTTTTTTTTTCTATAGATTAATCACCTTTCAATGCTCTCCTTTTTTAAAAAAATCTAAACTTTCAAATAAAATTTTCATTTTTAACTTTCAGTCCTTCTCCTTTATCATAATTTACTTTTCCTATCATGTTCAGTGAATTATACAATTAATGACTTTTTCAGCTTCCAAATGGTTTGTTATTGTACATGTCATGTTTTCTTTTGGATGAGAAAACACTTATTTCACACAATAGTGCCATTGCTTTTATTATTCTTCCTGTCACTGAGAGGGGGAAAGACCAAGAACCAAACAATAAGACTTTTATTTCCAGCTACTGGAGAGCTGTCCTGAAGGTCACTACAAGCCTCTGCCGTTGTGTGCTTCCATCTTGGACATGCCATCCAAATTGCGTAGAGTGGCTGGGGTCTTTTACAGCATGGAGTGTCATCTCATTTCACAGTTGGAGAAACTGAGGCTCACAGGTCCTCTCAGGGCCACACAGCTACCTAGTGCCAGATCCAGAACTAAACCTCAGGTCCCTGAGTTCCAGCCCACTGTCTTTTCCACTGCACGGAAAATCCCAGGAATTTTTTTTCCGAGCTCCCTGAATTCACCCCAAGCTAGTGTTGCAATCCATTTGGTTTTATCTCAGCAGTGTTGGAAGAAAGGGCCTGTAGTGATTCCTGGCTCAATAATATGAGTTTGCATAATAATTTGCATAATCTGGTTGATGAGTTTCATGTTGCTCTAGCTCCAACCAAGCCGTCTTCACTGGTTCTTTTGTGTATCGAAATCCAGAAGCTGTCAGCAGGATTCTGCGCATGGCCTTGTGGGGGGTAAGAGGATGGGATCTGGCGTCAGACCTGGGCAAGTAATTAACCTCCCTTTGCCTCAATTTTCCCTGATATAAAATAAGGAGAATGACAGCACCTGTGTCATGTTGCCCATTTTTAAGGATTACATGAAAAAAAGTGAGTTTAATATTTATAACAACTCAATAAATATTATTCTCGCTACCTATGAGGACATACTACTCAATAGTGGTTTAATAAAAGTTTATAAGGAAATATAAAACTGTAATTAGTGCAATTGCAACAGCTGTGGTGTGGTGCAGTAGGAATCACCCTGGGCTATGAATTGGGATATCTGAGCCCCAGCTTCAACTTCACCATGAATGAACCATGTGGCCAGCATGGAGCTGTCTCACCTCTCTGGATCAGTTTCTTAACCAACAAATCTAATCCTAGTCTTTAAATGGGAGAAAGGAACTCCCTGAAAAGTACAGTTTAACTGACTCACAACCTGTGAAAGCAACGCAATCTCACACCAGAGGAAGGTGAACCCCCGCTAAGAATTATCATCCCCTCCTCAGTGAGGAAGGTGATTTCTTGGTCTGCCTCCATGAGGAAGATAATTGTTGGGCCGTCACTCTGAGGCGTCCTGGCCCCAAAGCAGGAATAATTCCACCCTTGCCTTCATGGGAGCCACCTGCCTGAGCTCAAGCCGGAGAAAGGAGCAGATGAACAATGAATGTCACAGCAATTAGTTTTGGCAATTAGGCAGGCAATTAGTTCTGCAGCATGTAGAATGGGAGGAGAAAGTAAATCAGCACTGGGAGGTGACAGGGAAATATGATTAGGACATCAGGTGCCGGTGACACCCAGGTGGAAAGTCAGGCATTAGGGTCCCAGCCTCCCCTTCCCCACCACCGACCGCCACAGAGACCCTGGAAAGCAGCTGCTTTAATTGAAGAGACATCCCATCCTCTGTTCTAGCCTTTTTCTCAAGGACATCTCATGCCTCCAGTGTTCACTCCATGCTGTGATCGTGCTGGTTTCTCCCCCAAAATTCTGCCCCCCATGTCAAATAAATGAAGCACTAGTTTCCTGAAGATTGTCTTCTCTTAGTTGAGAATACATTTGTTTTCTTTTGTTTTTATAGTTTTGGTAGCTCTTCACTAAAGACAAGTTAATGAATTAAAGACAAGTTCACATTTTTCTTGGGGGTGGGTAGGAGGCAGATCCTAAATCAGTGTATGATATTGTGGGACATGGGGTGGTGCTTTAAAATCAAGGACCTGGAATTAGATTCCAGCTTCACTCAAGATCAGACCTGGGCTCTGACCTTTAGTTTCCTCAGCTCTAAAATGGGCATAACAACAGGATTTCCAGTTAAAATACATGATACTTCCATATCTCTTGTTCACAGACATATTAATTTCATACTTTTGGGAGTGTATGTTTTATTTAGAAATTATTTGTTTTGATCTGAAATTCGGATCTAACTGGGCATCCTCTATTTTCATTTGCTACATCTGGGAACCTAGAATAAAATAATAATACATCAGAAAATTAATGAGAAGATGAAATCAAGCACTGTATTAAAAACCCCTAACTGTGTGCCTAATTGGGAAGCCGAGGAACAACTAAAGTTTCTTTCTCTTCACTTGCCTCTGCCATTCTCATCTGAAAGGTTAGACATTTTCTATAGAGCCTGGAAGTATAGAGCAATGCCAGTAGTGGTGGACTGGTTTTGACTCAAAATAAGGAAAGACCTTTCTAATGGGTTGACTGAGGCAAGGGGTTCAAGCCCAGGTCCAGATACCTCTTGAAGAGAAGACTCGAGCATCAGAAGAGTAGCTGGACATGATCTTTAAGGTCTCTTTCTACCTGAGCTTCTGAACTGGTATTTGGAGCTTCTCTTCTTATGATTAAGCACTGGGAACAGCTTCGGAGGACCCAGAAGTGCAGTTAGGAAGTGTGATGACACAGGAGCACCTGGTGCAGCAGCAGTCTATTCAGGACATTCACAGTGATTCTTAGGAAAAGTCAGGGATGGAATCCAGTGCTAGATTTCACACTGCGAGACGCCCAGCTGGTGTTCTGATGACCCACCTCACCAAAGGCACCTTCAGGTTTTGTGTGGCACGAGCCTTACACAATTATGGGAGCCCTCTTTAAGAAAAAGAATGCAAAATTGCAAATACAAAATTAGTCATGAAAGCGAATATTTACTTAGAATGAGAAATTATATCATGACAAATTACAAGAGTGCTGGAGAATTAGTTCCTTTTCTTCTGAGATCCCTTTAAGCAATTTACCAGAAATGCTGACATAGAAATGTTTCCTGATTGTAACCCGGCTTCCTCTCTCCACCTGGAACTCTATCACTCTTAGCAACCCAGGCTCTCACAGGTGCCCTGCATGGGAAAGGATCTGTAACTCACATTTTAATCATTTTATGAAAGATGTTCTCTTGTAACCAAGTACATTTCTGAAATATAATTTTATTCTTTTATTTTTAATTGATACATAATAATTGTACATCTCTATGGTGTACATGTGATGTTTCCATACCTGTATATGATGTTTAGTGATCAAATAAGAGTATTTAGCATATCCATCATCTCAAACATTTATCATTTTTTTGTGTTTGGCACATTCAAATTCCTCTCTTCTAGCTGTTTTGAAATACACAATAAATTATTATTAACTATAGTCACCCTACTGTGCGATGGAACACTAGAATTTATCTAACGTAACTACTGTTATTTTTTATTTTTATTTTTTTGAGATGGGGTTTCAAAAACGCTTAAGTCTGTCACCCAGGCTGGAGTGCTGTGGTGCGATCATGACTCACTGCAGCCTGGACCTTCCCAGGCTCAGGTGATCCTCCCACCCCAGCCATCCGAGTAGCACGTGCCACCATGCTTGGCTCATTTTTTAAATTTTTGTAGAGATGGGGTTTTGCTATGTTGCCCAGGCTGGTCTCAAACTCCTGGGTTCATGCCATCTGCCCACCTCAGCCACCTGAAGTTCGAGGATTACAGGTGTGAGCCACTGCATCCAGACTACAACTGCCACCTCACTCCCATCTAACTTCTTCCTGCCTAATTGTAACTTTGTACCCTTTCACCGATTTCTCCCCATTCCCCAACCTATCCTTCCCAGCCTCTGGTAACACCAGTCTACTCTATTTCCATGAGGTCAACTTTTTGGATTCCACATATGAGTGAGATTATGTGGTATGTGTCTTTCTGTGCTTGGTTTATTTCACAGAACATAATGTCCTCCAGACTCATTGATGATACTGCAAATGACAGGTTTCATTCTTTTTTATGGCTGAATAATATTCCATCATGTATATATACCACATGTTCTTTATCCATTCATCTGTTGATGGACACTTAAGTAGATTTCATATCCCAGCTACTGTTAATCACCCAGCTGAATAATTTTACAATCATGTTTATTACACAAGCAATGTTGTAAGAGTGTTAATGAAAAACAAAATAATAAAAAGGTAGAGAGGGAACTCTCATAATCCCTTCATTTCAACCAACCATCTGTTGCTTTTTTCCATGTTTCCTTTTCAGCCCATGCTTCTATATGCACAATTTAAGCATTTGGAAAGTATGGTGCAGATATAATTTCATACTCTTTTCCACTTCACATTTCCCTATGGCTCTCCACTGTCTTAATTGGTGTGATATTTCAAGGCTGCATGATAATCCACTATCCTGCCATTGTGAGAAATTCATATCACACAAATAAGAATTATAAAGATGGGATCTGAATTTTAGCCTGACTACAGACAGTTCTAACCACACATACACACACACACAAAAAAAATTAAAGGAAAGAAAGACCATAGGAACAGTATAATTCACAGAGGTGTAAATAATCTGTCAATGTAAATAGAAGAATCAGTCAAAGCCATTATTAGGTGTGGACAGATGAAGAAACTATCACCAGGTTGTATTTCCACTTTTCAACTAATTTCTTCAGTTAAACAGTTGAAAATCCAGTGAGGATGACCCTTCTCATGGGGTTATGAAGAGGAATAAATAGAGATTGTCCTGTGACTGGATACTACAGTGGATGGACATTTTTCCCCCCAAAAGAGTATTTGTTTCTTAATGGAAAGTATTTCTACTGGAGTCATACAATGGGAATTCTATGGCAATAATCTAATTATGCCGATTAGAATGCAAATTATTCCATAAAACACTGTGAGGACCCTCCCTCTGAGAAATTTCTGAACAAAACATTTCAATAGTGCTCAGTAGCTTTCCCTTCCTGGGGGGAAATTACAAGTCGAGTACAATATGATTCATAACTTAATGGAACAGTTGCTGTGGGTGGACTTGTGTCACTCACGTCCCCCTTACAAGCCCATGGCTACACCCCCTTACCTTTTACTTTCTCAGCTTCTCAGTGGGGTGCAGCAGCCAAACCACCCTGTTGGGTTTTGACTTTTTAAAACTCCAGTATAAAAGACAGGCAGTAAAGACATGGCAACAGCATCCAAAGCTCCTATTCTTAATCTCTGAGTGTCATATCAGGCAGCAAGCTCAGAGTTTGAAATGTCTTTTCTGTGGTTTGGAACTGTTTCCACAGTCTATCCAATTTATAAGGAGAGGTGATTACAGCTCATCACAACTATCAGCATTATGCCAAGATGGATATAAGCTATTAAAACTACAGCTAAGTCATTTTTAGGATGGAGGCACACACTAACGGGCATGACTCACCTTATTTTGGGATTCCTAATATGACAAAGGTTGTTGCAAAGGTTCGCTGTTAGGTTTTTAAATCTGCAACTCTCATGTTCTCCTGTTAAGGGCAGGATGGAGGATCTGAGAGCATTGGAGTAGAGGTTTGGTGCTGGGCCAGTTCTGAAAGCACAGTCTCTGTTTCAGCTGAAGGTGTCTCAGATCCTATATTGTGACGATGCCAAGGTTTAGACACCCTAATCCTCAACCTGTAACATTCCCTCAGACTTTATGGCTTCGATTTCTTGCAATGAAAAACAGAAATTGGGGAGCAACTACATTCCACAGGGTCTCCTCATGTATCGATCTTCCTTCTGCATCAGTGACGCACCTGGCAGCACAGGGATGGTGATCAAAGGGCTTCTTCCTGGCAAAGACAAAAATGTGTACAATTATGTTTTTCTTTTAATTTCATAAAAGACAACGTGTATGTGAACCAAAACCAGGGAATGACATTCTGACCAGCCAATTTTCTCACTGAAGCTTTTGTAAAATGGAATTTTCTTTGCTTCCTATTTTTATGCTGTCTTCTAGTGTGGCTGGCACGGGTAACAATCATACTTGGCACTTCTGTCGTGCTTTTCATCCAAAGATTTCAAAGTGCTCCACAACAGGATTTCATCCTCACGGCGGGGCTGGGAAGAAGGTCAGCTCTGTTATGCCTAGTGAGCAGACAGGATGCGAAGCGGGGACATGACTCATATGTGGGCCCTGCAAAGCTTCGGTGACAGAAGCAGGTTAGAGCCCAAGCTTCCTAATTCCTAACTCTGTCTGCTGTTCACTTGTCCCAGCTGATACAGCCTTTTCTTCTAAGGGATGAACATTAGGCCCAGCACGACATATTATGAACAGCTTGTTAAGTGTCCGACCCTAGGAGAAATGAGAAGCCCAAATAAAAAGATGTTTGATTTGTTTTTGATAACTACTTTTCAGACTTTAAGAACTTGGACCAATAAGCCTTAAAAATCAGTGTAAATCTACTGGGTGAAAAATGGCTACCAGATTTCAATACTTGAAAATATCAAAGTATTGGCAAGAAAGTCAAGCAACAGGAATCTTAGATTCTACAGTTGGGAATGTAATTAGTACAGCCACTCGGGAAAACAATTTAGCAATGGCTTGTAAAATTGAACATGCACATCCACTTCAACCCAGCAAGTCCACTCCCACATAATATATGTAATAAGAATATAATGTAATATGTTATTTCTCTAGAAGAAATTCTTGTACATATGCACCATGAATACATACATACATGAGAAATGAACTAAAATATTATCCAGTACTGAAAATGAATGAACTACATCTTCCCATAAAAGATGGATAAACCTACATAGTACTTACTGAAAAAAAGCAAGACTGAGATGAAGAGATAAAAGAAGAATCTATTTTTGTAAAGCTCAAAAATATTAAAACTAAACATATGCTTACAGGCACAAACATATATAAAATAAAACTAGTTTTTAAAAGGCAATCAAATAACAAAGGCAAAGGCAGGATGATAATTCCATATTGGGAAAGCTAGGGCTCTGAGATTGGGGAGGAACATGGAGTGTATGTTCTAGTATGTGAACTAGGTATGTTCTAGTCCTTAAGTTGGATGGTGGATTAATGTATTCATGTACTTTTGTTTTACCTTTTCTCTTTATGATTACGTATATGTTACACATATTCTTTTCAAATATTACCAAATAATTTTAAGTCAGCACAGATCGGCTAAAAGTGAAAAAAAATAAGAGACTTTTAAAGAAAGCATAAACCTCCACCAAATGTGTGTGTATATGACGGCAGGTCTTAAAATATTGCTTAAAGATTATAAACATCTAAACATTTTGAGGGTCAGTATTTTTAAGATATCTGTCAAACAGTGAGTCAAAAAAAGTATTTGAAACAATTATTACCTAAAAAGATTTATTGTCGTGTGTAAAGAGGTCATATAAGTTGAGAAGCAAGACATTAAAACTCAATAAATAATCTGGAAAAATATATGCACAAACAATTTCAGGAAAATTCAAATGAGAAAGATATGAAAGAGGTTCGGACTTCCTTCGTAAACAAAGAAGTGAAGCTTGTCTAGGATAACATGTTTTAAAAACTCATAATATTAGTGAAGATTGAAAAAATTCTCAGTGCTGGCAGGAGTTCAGTGGAGTGAGCATTAAACACTGCTGACTTACAGCCTTTTCCAGAAGCATTTTAGAAATAGGATTCAGTAGCTTTAACTAAGCCCATAACTTTTCATCCAGGAAGGTCCTAGAAACCACTCCAAAAGAAACCGTTAGAAACCCAAAGATGTTCACAGCAAAATTATCTTTAACAGCAAAACTTAGTTTAAATGCTGAACAATAAGAGAATGGTTAAATATAGGACATCCTCAATGGCAATTATTCAATCAATAGCAAAGGCGTTTTCAAAAATACTTACTGATATGGGAAAATGCTTACACTAAGCATACAGAATGGTTCTTTTTTTTTTTTTTTTTTTTTTTTTTTGAGACGGAGTTTCGCTCTTGTTACCCAGGCTGGAGTGCAATGGCGCGATCTCGGCTCACCGCAACGTCCGCCTCCTGGGTTCAGGCAATTCTCCTGCCTCAGCCTCCTGAGTAGCTGGGATTACAGGCACGCGCCACCATGCCCAGCTAATTTTATGTATTTTTAGTAGAGACGGGGTTTCACCATGTTGACCAGGATGGTCTAGATCTCTTGACCTCATGATCCACCCGCCTCGGCCTCCCACAGTGCTGGGATTACAGGCTTGAGCCACCGCACCCGGCCCAGAATGGTTCTTACTGCACATTTTTAGATGTATAAAATATATGTGTACACATATACAAATGCAAAAAAAAAAAAAAAACAAAACCACAAGATGTTGAAAGGTTTAAAGAGTGACCGCTGCATAATGAGCTACTGAGTGGTTTTTAGTTTTTCCTTTGTTTATCTCCATAGTTTCTATAAGGAATTTCCTAGATTAATTTAAAAAAAAAGCATTTAAAAAATAATAATACAAAATAGTTACAGTAGAGGGGCAGGCATTTCTGTAACACAGCAATGTGGGCCATAAAGTCCATTGTAGGGTGACCAATTGTTGCCCTTTACCTGCGACTCTCCCAGTTTCGGGGAAGAAAGTCCCACATCCTGGGAAACTTATCAGCCCCGAGGAAAACTAGGACAATTGGCTATCCTTCCAACGCCTGAGAAGCTCATCGGAGTGGACGGACTTCCCCACCCTAAATTCCAACTGTAGTCTTGATAATTCCTCAGTCTCCCTATAGAAACGGCTATTGTGACCTTGTGTTATGAAGATTTTTAAACGCCACATCTTAAAGAGCTTGTGGAGCACAGAGCAGATGCATAAATGCTAAATAGGCTAGTTTAGCAGCGTTATGCAAGCTCTGAATACGCACTCAAATAGGTCAGGAAGCAAGAACTAGCTCTTGTCTTAGGGAAGAGGAGAGTATTTATTTCTCATTTTGTTATTTGTGCTGTACATATTCCTTGCTTTTGCAGAATGGTAGTGGCAGGTGTATCACTTTGCCAGAGAAAAACTGAGTGCTGGGGAATGCAGCTTAGAGGGTGAAGCCAGTTCTCCGGGCTGGAGCTAAGGCCCTGCGGATAAATAGATTCAGGTTGGAACTGCCTTCACACAATCAGGGCAGATCTCCTCCTACGCTAAATCTCCGGGAAGTTTTTCTACGTATTTGCTTAGGAAAGCATCTGGAAAATATAATAGGACTGCGATACTGGGTATGCTAACAGCAATCTCTGTGTCACGGAGAAGAGCAGTGAGTGGCAGGTAAGGGGGCGGCAGGGAGTCAGCATGCCTATGTTTGAGGCAAGCCTTTGCCACCTCCCAGGGGCATGAATACCTTTGGGCAGCCACTTAGCCAGTTTCTGTTCCTTAGTTTCCTTATGCATAAAATGAAGATGCTAACAGCACCCACCTCAGCGTTGTGAGGATTGCATAGGTGTTAACAGGGTAATAAGAGCTTGGAGCAGTGCTGGCAGGTGGGCACGCAGGCGGCTTATTAGAGGGTGCACTTAAAATCAGCCACAGGGGCAGCGAAGGGAAGGAAGCAGGACTGATCAGAGCAGAGCAAGAGGTCGAGCTGTGATGAAGTCTTGACAGAGCCTCAGTGGGGCCCCACCACAACTTTCCTGAGTTGGGGCTACAGATGGGTCCTTGATACCCCTGCAATCAATCAAAAGACGGCCACCCCCTGAAAGGGGCTGGACCCTGACTTGACAGCCCTGAGAGTCACCTCCCACAGACCCCGAGATCTGAAATCCATGGCTGCATTGCACCGCGTGGGCGGCGCCTTGCCCTGGCTGCTCTCAGCTGGTAACAGAGCCAGCGGGATTACTGGGGCAGGCCTCTTGCTGGGAGCAGGGGACTGATCTGATAGCTGCTTTTTATCTGGAGAAGTCCCTGATGACCTTGCTGAGTTTGCCTGAACCTTCAGAGTGGTCTAGTATTCTTCCACCCAGCCTTCCTTCCTTCTCCTCTGTACTTTGGATCAGCCTTCTCTGGTTTCCCTAAAATTGGTGATGAACACTGTGATATACCAGCCCAGTTCCCCTTTAGGAGCAAATTTTAAAATTTACTATTTTTAATCCTCTTTAATTTTATTTTTTGAACATGTAAAACATCACATGGTTCAAAAGCCAAAACTAAACTAAACAGACAGACAAAACCAAGAAGTATAATCAGAGAATTCAGGCATCCAACCTGAAAAGCAGAAAGCAGTGCAGAGAAATTGTTCTCGACTAAAGGAGACTAAATGACTGGTTCAGGAGACAGGGGAAGGGAAAATCTAGCTAGCTATATATCTTGCTAGATATAAAAAAAAATACAGCAAAATGCTAACAATTGTTGCCCTAGATTAAGAACATTGTAATATTCTTTGAGTCTTTCTGTAGATTTTGAAAGTTTTTATAAGTATAAATTCTAGGAAAAAGTAAGAAATTTTTTTTTTGTCAAAGTGTCCAGTACTTGGGTTCTTATTTATCTGCAAACATATTAAGACATGAAAGAACTAACATAGCCTAAAGCATAGTAAATAAGTAAAACACTACGCCTGTGCCCTAATTTCTTAAAGTAAAGCAAGAACTCATAAAGGGAGATTTCCAGGTTTAAATATGATACACCTTTTAATTCTCAATGAAATTCTAGACAGCAGAATTAAACACATGATTTGTGAGCACTTAGAAAGGAAAGCAATGATCACTAAGAGACAACATATGTTCATTAAGAAAAGGTCACACAAAATACATCTCTTTTTTTCCCCCAGTGCGGAACATCAAAGACATAATATAATTCAATTACAACAAAGCACTAAAAAGCTGATCATATTGGCTTTGTGACAAAAATGAATACATACAGCTGAATTATTAGCTGAACACTGCTTCCACCCTTCATTCTTTCTTTGGTTCAGTCATTCATTCAGTATTAATCATGTGTCCAGCACTGTGCTAAGAAGACACAGCACTCTATTACAATTAATGAACATGTTAATGTCAATTTAGACCAAAAGGAAAATTTTGAAGATATTTCTAAAGGCGTGGCCAAGGACAAAAAGCATCAGAATCAAATGTGGTGCTAGTTAAAAATGCACATTCCCGGAATCACATCCCAGACTTATTAAATCAAAATTTCTAGAAATGGGACTTAGGGGCCTGCAAATTTAGCAAATGTCCTACTTAATTATTTTGTACACAAAAATTTGAGAGCCACTACTAAAAGTGATTCTTTGTCTTCTAGTCTAAAATCGTAAACATCTTAGTAAGTGAATTGGGCGAAGTCCAATAAAAACTTTGCCTATCAAGTTTTACATGACTGAAAGTTGGAGGTAAAGCTGATAAACAATATTAAAGAATCAAATTTGAAAAGACCTTGGAAAAGGAGAGGGATGGAATGAAATTAACAATATACAATTTAATAGGGTTAAATGTGAAGTTCTGCTTCTAAGTTCAAAGAATCAACTACTTAAATATAAGGTCGGAAAGCTCTGAATTGACAGGAGTTCACTTGAAAAAAATTTGAAGTTCAATGAGAGTCAAAAATGCGATATTATTTCCAAAAAGACTGACACAAATTTTAGGATACATTTATAAAAACCAAAACTAGGGAAGGGAGGGACAAGGTTGCACCCATCATGTTCTGCATTGGCAGAGCATATTTATTTTAAAATATTTGATATGTATATTTTTAAAAAGAAATTATCAAACTAGAGTGTGTCTGAGGGAAAGTGACTGGGTAGTAAAGTGCCTTAAACTCACATCATATGAAGAATTGATGAAATAACAAAATGTGTTTCACATAGAAAAGTGAAGACTCAGGTATATTAATAGCCAACCTTATAGGGTTGAAAGGCTATTGTGTTGAGGGAAGAAATAGACATTTTCTCTATGATTCTGCAAGAAAGAACTGCAGACATTAGGGGAAAGTTATTTTTGGTTTAACGTATGAAACAATGACCTAAGAATTAGCAAGTTCAATATATGAAATCAGTTGTTGCCATTATGAGATAGTAAGTTCCGGCAGTAGGTTAAAACCCCTATCAGAGATTGTGAAAAGGATTCCAATCAATCAACCAATCAAGGGAGGTGCTAGGGCTTAAATGTTTTCATGTCCCCCAGTGCAACAGCATTAAGAAGCATGGCCTTTAAGAGGTAGTTAAGTCATGAGGGCTTCGTCCTAAAAACTGGTATTAGCATTAGGCCCTTTAGACCTCAAGGTTGGAGGAAGCACCCTTTTGTCCTCCCACCCCTTCCACCATGTGGGGACACAGCATTATCCCCTCCAGAGGACAAAGCAACAGGCACCATCTTGGAAACAGAGACCAGGTTCTTACCAGACACCAAACCTGCTGGACTCTGTATCCCGGACTCCCAGCCTCCAGGACTGAGAGAAATAAAATTCTGTTCTTTATAAATTACCTAGCCATTGTTATTTTGTTACAGTAGCACTAAAGGACTAAGGAGGCTTTGTATGTACCAGTAGCCATGGTGGAATATGAACTGAGAGGTATGTGTAACTGAAACCACTGTGACTGAAATACAAAACTTAAAAAAAAAAAAAAAGGAAAGGAAAATAAATAAAAAAGGATACCTGCATTACAAAGGACATCTAGCCAAACAGAGATTCCATTCTTTAAATTTCTATGTAACTACTTATAATTTGGGGTTCGTTGCAAAGCCTTCAAAGACTTTTCTGGTTATACCATTTGTTTATCCTTCGAAAGGAATCAGTTTCTGGCATGTTAGCGGGGCTATTCTGAAGAGGGTAAGGGTCAGAATGCCCATGACACACTTCCATGGTCTTCTGCAGAGGAGCCTGACCGTGGTGAATCCTTAAGCTGACATACCTCAATTCTTCAGCTGTGTTATCCTGCTACAGAACAACAGCCAGCCTTGCCAAAAGTGGGAAGTGAGCTCAAAGGCAAACAACATGTATTCTGGCTGGTGCTTTATGAATAGCATGGCACAAAATCTGTGTCAAAATGGGGATGATGGAGATAAACTGAAGGAATGATATGCCCTCTTTGGGTGTTTTTTTTTTGTTTTTTGTTTTTTTTCATTTAATGCATTACCATTAAATGTAAACCATTACATTAATTGGTTTGAGCATTAGGAAGATGGAGCAGAAACAGAAGATACCCAGAGAGAAAGTCAACTGTAGATGTTGTGAAAAGCCATTGCGTATACTGAAATTAGAAGTGGGCAAAAGCTATAAGACAGCTGTAACAAAAAGCTAATAAAAGGTGGGAAGAGCAGTTGGCTGGTGGGAATAGGACTATTGAAGCAGATTATACGTATACACTTACCAGAGTTACCTAACGGCACTCTACTGCTAAGTTGATGTTGATAATTCAGTTGCTCAGGACCATCTTGGATGTTTGGGGGAATTCTGGTCTTTGAGTAGCATTCCAGTCTCCAATATCAACTCTTGTGCAGCTCTTGTGATTGTCCTTATTTCTATGTGAATCTTACACGACACTTTTCTGACTTTTCTACTAAATGAAAGAAGGGAAGGTTTTAGTACTACTAGCAGTCTGGGACATAGCCCAAGAGGCTTATCACAAGCTCAACATTTCTCTGCAGTCTCACGTTGTTTTCATCTTCAAAATTCCATGTGCATTTGCCTCCTTAAGAGATCAGTATTATTTTTTATTAAAAATGTTTCATTCATTTAAAATGGATAATTTAGAGAGACATGCCCTGTTTTTTTGTTTCAGTTAGTTCCTGTAATTTTTGGCTAATGCCATGTAATCCCTTGAAATCTGGCCACCTCAGTTTGAGAAACATGATCTTACAATAAACTTATATTACTTGAGGTTATCTGTGTGACTATTCCCTAAAGATCCTAATTAATGCAGTCGCTTTAGGGAGATATGGGGGTGTGTGTGTGTGTGTGTGTGTGTGTGTGTGTGTGTCCTATTCCAGAATGTTATCTGAATTACAAAAGTCGGAAAACAGCACTTTACGTGTTTTTAAAATACTTGAAAATTTATGATAAAATTAACGTGTGTTCCTATGCAACAATTTTGCATGTTCTTCACATGTACCCCAAAACCTAAAATGCAATAAAATAAATAAATGGGAAAAAAAAAAACGTTTTTCAGATAAACTTTCCCAGTCATACTATGCAAATAGTACTAAAAATCTTGCAGAATTTTTGAAACGGTTGGTTTTTTTAACATTTGATTTAAAAAAGATTGCCCTTTTAATCTTTCAAGAATTTATTTTTTAAATATGTTAAAATGTGTGCATCTAGCCTTTTCTAACAACACATTTATTGCATTATTGATTAAATATTATTTGGTTCACCAATATTTAATATGTACGTCCTTTTAGTTTAAATAATCATAATCCCTGGGTCTATTTCTGAAGTTTTTATTTTTTCATTGATATAATTTTATGCCAACATAATAAATAAAATTTCAATGATTATCACATTAAAAAAAAAAATTAAACACACACTACAGTATAATGTAGCATGTGAATGATGAAGTTTAATGTTCAAACCCAACTCTGCTCATTTGTAGGCATTTTACATCTTCTTGTATATTAAAATAAATTATATTTTATTTTTCTTAAGTCAATGTCACTTCACTTTATTATAGGCCTGAAGGAAGTCCATCTTCTTTCACACAAAACCCACTCAAGAAATAATAGGAAAAGAGAGAAAGAAAGCAGCAGACATGAGCAATACAAAGAGAACCAAGGATAAGAATTAGAATTCAGACTTGAATTCTAATTCAAGGTGTAGATTTCTGTGTGGAGTAATTGTTTCCATTAGGTTCTATTTAAAAATTAATAATGTTAAGAATTAAGTGTTCTTATATACTGAAGTGTCATTGCTAGTTATTAAATGTTATTTATTAAAATCCTAATAAAAATTATACTTTAAATTAAATATTGACTCCCACTAAATTAATTTAAATAATTAAGCCTAATATTACTGGTGAGGGATGACAGGAGGGAGGAGGAAGGGAGTCCATTGTGAAACCTGATTTTTTTAATAAAAAGTTGTATATGTAAATAATGTGTTAAAAGATTATGATTCTCCAAGCCACTTTTTTGTCCATTGCTAACATTGACTTTCTTTAGAAACTGGCTTATACTTTCCAGGCATTATTACAATCCATGAAATTGACAGAGAACCCACTAATGCCTCTGCACACCAGTTCACTTCAAAAGTCTTTATTGGACCAGGCTCAACAATGCAAGAGGACTAAGACATGAGCCCTGCCCTTCAGGAGCCCACAGCCTTGAGAGAGAAAGGGACTTGTAAACACATGGTGACAGTGCAGCGTGGTATGTGCAAGACGGGAAATACATACTGGGCATCAAGTCAGGAGGCTTAGAGGCATCTTCACAGATGTGGTGATATACTGGGTAGGACTTTGGCAGTTAAATATCAGAGACGAGGATTCCTAGCAGAAGTACTCTGAGGTGCAGAGGTGTGAACCAGCATGCTGCATTTGACAGACAGCTTTACTTCGGTAGAACTGGGAGAGGTTAGAGGAAATGAATTGTAGCCTCCGAGAGAAAAGAAATAGGATCAGGCTAGATTCAACATTTCTTCTCTCTGCGTGACCTGAGGCAAATTATCTGGTCTCTAGAAGCCTCCATTTCCTTATTTATAAAATTTCTTCCTAGAGCTGTGTTGTTTAAGATTGTGGACAAAAACCTGGCCCCTAGCACTCAATGAAGACTAGCAGCATGGTGTTGGTGGAGTGTGACATGGTTAAATACATGACCTGGGACCTGTGGTCTCACAGGACCACCTCAAACTCACCACCCTACAAACATCTGTGAACAGGGGCATAGCAAAGACAGCAGTGTAGGTGGTGTGTGTGTTATGTAAGTGAGACAGACAAAGAGAGACGGAAAGACAGACCACCCTGGGAAGCAGGAAATTAATTCTACCTGTGTCTCCTACTTTCTGACATCTCGCCGATTATACATTTAATGTATTTTTTTCCCTTTTTTTTTTTTTTTTTTGAGACAGAATCTCACTCTGCCTTCCAGGTTGGAATGCAGTGGCGAATCTCGGCCTCTGCCTCCCAGGTTCAAGCAATTCTCCTGACTCAGCCACCCAAGTATGGAATTACAGGCATGCACCACCACGCCCAGCTAATTTTTGTATTGTGAGTAGACACAGGGTCTCACCATGTTGGCCAGGATAGTCTGGAATTTCTGACTTCCAGGTGATCCACCCACCTCGGCCTCCCAAAGAGAACACTTAATGTACTTAAAAGTTAGTACTGCTCCTTTTCTTCTCACCCTAATGCCTGTGCTGGTCAGCCATCGAGCTTATGGGGATTGTACATGTTCCCCTTCACTCTCTCAGAAATCCACAGAAGCATGGCAAATGAACACACCTATGTGAGTGATGCTCGTTATCATGGATCACAATACACTTTTAATAAAAGTCTTAACATCAAAGTCCAAACAGATATCTTTCTGGTTTTTGATAAGACAGGATCTCAAATTCATGTGTCTGAAAGCCAGTCTCCCCAAACTGTCTCCCAAGCTTGCATCTCCTTCTGTGCTCCCTGTGCTGAGCAATGGCATCATCATACACCCAGTGCACAAGTCAGGAAGTCAGGAACTTATAAGTCATCCTTGACCTCCTTCCTCTTCACAGTTCACTCAATCAATCTCCAACACTCAGGAAATTGAACTCTAGAAAAACAAGCTTATCTTCTTCCCTCCTTTCTTACTGTGGCTTCCTCAGTTCAGGTCCTTCTTACTTCCTGGCAACATAATTGGAAAAGCTTCTTCAATGGACTCCCCGTGTCCAGCAAAGCCATCCCACATGGTGGCAGAGAGATCTAAATTATAGAACTCCACTTAGAATCATTGTAGCGTGCTCCACCGTCTACAAAACGAAGCCCAAACACAGGATTCAGGTCCTGAGTGCTCTGACCCTGCCTCCCTTGACTGCCTCATCAACCCTCATGTAACGCTTTGCATTTTATGTTCTGATTATGCCAAGTCACTGGTTGTTTCCCAGAAAAACTCTACCAAAACTTCAAGCCTTTGCACCTGCAATCCCCTCTGTCTAGAACTTTGCTACTCAAAATGTGACCCAGGAGCCAGCAGCATCAGCATCACCTGAGGGCTTGTTGGAAATGCAGACTCTCAGGCTTTACCCCAGAACCACTGAAGCAGTAGCCACATTTGAACAAGGTCCCCTGGTGACTCATGTACACATTAAAGTTCTAGAAGTGCTGCCTAAAAGGTTCTTCCTCCCTACTTTGCCTATCTCATTGACTCTCATCCTTACAGACCCCTGCTCCCCTTGGCATATATTAAATAACATTAACCTCCACTTTACAATTGAAATAAATGTTGTGCATAACATATACCATCTATACTCATAATTAAAAATAATTCAGTATAATACTTTCACTACAATATTTAAAAAGACAAGTAATATGAAATAAAATATCTATTTCTCTATATTTATATTTTATTGTACTTTTAAGTTCTGGGATACATGTGCAGAATGTGCAGGTTTGTTACATAGGTATACATGTGCCATGGTGGTTTGCTGCGCCCATCAACCCATCATCTAGGTTTTGAGGTTCACACGCATTAGGTGTTTGTCCTAATGCTATCCCTCCCTATTTCTCTATTTAAATGTGTTGGTACAACCATACTTAAAGATATAACAAAGTAATGAGATGTTTGATTAGAATCACTGGGGATTGACAGATACAAGACTGATTCAGGTATATTACATTGAGCACACAAATACCACGAGCAATGATATAGTCACAATGTGATTTTCCAAGACGGTAAACTGCTTTAAGCAACGTTCTGAAGATAGCAAAACAGAATATTCCTTTGATTCATAAAGGATTCATATTTCTGGAAAATGCAGCTTTTATTAAAATTGTGTAGAGTAGGCTTTGTGTGTATATGTGACATGAATTAGGTTTTAGGTTCAGATAGTTATAACCACATTTTCACCTACATGGATACCTTGTGGGACATTCAAACATCATGCTGGATGCAGGATGATTCTTTGTTGCATAAGATTAAATCATAGCACAGCAGCACATCTCACATATCTGGCCTTCATCCACCAAATGCTGGAGCTGTCCTGCCATCAGTGACCACCAGTAATGACCCCTAAAATTTCCAAACTCTTGAGGGGCCAATGCCTTTCCTACTTGATCAGTCTGTACTATAGTCTGGATATTCAACCCTCTAAACCTCATGTTGAAATCTGATCCCCAGTATTGGAGGTGGGACTTACTGGTAAGTGTTTGGGTCATAGGGGGCACATTCCTCATGAATAGATGAATGCCTTTCCTAGGAGAAGAGGGGTGAGTGAGCTCTTGCTATTAGTTCCTGAGAGAGCTGGTTGTTAAAAAGAGCCTGGCATCTCCCTCCCCTCTCTCTTGCATCCTTCCTCTTGCCATGTGATCTCCGCCCACACCAGCCCCCCTTTGCCTTCTGCCATGAGCGGAAGTGGCCTGAAGCCTTCACCAGAAGCAGATGCTGGCACCATGCTTCTTAGACAGCCTGCAGAACCACGAACCAAATAAAATTCCTTTCTTTATAATTACCTATCCTTGGGTATTCCTTTATAGCAACACAAATGAACTAAGACAGCTTGATAAACTCTAAAACTTCCTTCAAGCCTCGATTGAAGGAAGGAAGCCATCTGAGGGTGACACAATTGCCCTCTCTGTCCCTGGCGATTTCCTGGTTCTTTCCTTCCATGGTGCTGTCTCAGCTTCCCTAAATGTAGTGATAACCCAGTCCTTTTTACTGCACTCAGCTGTTAGCAGAGCAGGAGTCTCCCTCTCTCTGGTTTGAAAAGAGAGAAATTTGTCGTCTTGCAGTTGTGGAGGCCAGAAGTCCGAAGTCAAGGTACCAGCAGGGCCACCATCCCGCCGAAGGCCCTAGGGAAGAGCTGTTGTTCTACGCTTCTGTCTTAGCTTTTGGTGATCTCAGCTATTCCTTGGCTTGTAGTTGCATTGTGTTATTCCCCTGTCTTCACGTGACATTTTTCCTCATCCCTGTCTGTCCTCTTTTCATAAGGACACCCGCCATACTGGACATCCATCACACTGGCCCATCCCATGTCATTATGACCTTATATTCTTTTTTTTTTTTTTCCTCATTAAACTTTTTTAATGGGTCTCAAAATTCCCTGACAAATTTTTGATCAAGTTGTTTCCATTAAAAAGTACTGATTTTAAAAACTAGTAAAACTGCCACACGCAAAATAGAAAACCAAAGTGGTCCACAAAACATTTTCCTTTCCTTCTCAAGGTTTTACAATGCATTGTTATCATTAACCAGTCTTTTACTACTAAACTTAAATGGCCAATTGAAACAAACAGTTCTGAGATGGTTCTTCCTCCACCACTGATTAAGACTGAGGTGGCAGGTATTATAGATAATGTTCATTTAGCCTTCTGAGCTTTCTGGGCAGACTGGGTGACTCTGCCAGCTCCAGCGGCCTTCTTGTCCACTGCTTTGATGACACCCACGGCGACCGTCTGTCTCATATCACAAACAGCAAAGCGACTGAGAGGTGGATAGTCTGAGAAGCCCTCAACACACATGGGCTAGCCAGGAACCATATCAACGATGGCAGCATCACCAGACTTCAAGAATTTAGGGCCATCTTCCAGCCTTTTACCAGAACGGTGGTCAATCTTTTCCTTCAGCTCAGCAAACTTGCATGCAATGTGAGCGGTGTGGCAATCCGGTAGGGGGCATAGCCAGCCCTGATTTGGCCTGGATAGTTCAGGACAATCACCTGGGCAGTGACACCAGCCGCTTCCATTGATGGGTCATTCTTGCTGTCACCAGCAACGTTGCAACAACAAACATCCTTGACAGACACATTCTTGACATTGAAGCCCACATTGTCCCCAGAAGAGCTTCACTCAAAGCTTCATGGTGCATTTCAACAGATTTTACTTCAGTTATAACGTTGACTGGAGCAAAGGTGACCACCATACCAGGTTTGAGAACGCCAGTCTCCACTCGGCCAACAGGAACAGTACCGATACCACCAATTTTTATAGACATCCTGGAGAGGCAGGCGCAAGGGCTTGTCAGTTGGATGAGCTGGTGGTAGGATGCAGTCCACGGCCTTAAGCAGCGTGGTTCCACTGGCATTGCCACCCTTATGGGTGACTTCCATCCCTTGAACCAAGGCACGTTAGCACTAGGCTCCAGCATGTTGTCACCATTCCAACCAGAAATTGACACAAATGCTACTGTGTCGAGGTTGTAGCCAATTTTCTTAATGTAAGTGCTGATTTCCTTAATGATTTTCTCATGTCTCTTCTGGCTGTAGGGTGGCTAAGTGGAATCCGTTTTGTTAACACCAACGATTAGTTGTTTCACACCCAGTGTGTAGGCCAGAAGGGTGTGTTCTCGGGTCTGTCCATTCTTGGAGATACCAGCTTCAAATTCACCAACACCAGCAGCAACAATTAAGACAGCGCAGTCAGCATGAGATGTCCCTGTAGTCACGTTTGTGATGAAGTCTCTGTGTCCTGGGCATCAATGATAGTCATGTAGTACTTGCTGGTCTCAAATTTCCACAAGGAGCTATCAATGGGGATGCCATGTTCATGCTCAGCTTTCAGTTCATCCAACACCCAGGCATACTTGAAGAAGCCCTTTTCCATCTCAGCAGCCTCCTTCTCCATTTTTTCAGTGGATCTTTTGTCGATGCCACTGCATTTGTAGATTAGGTGACCAGTAATGGTGGACTTGCCCGAATCTATGTGTCCAATGACGACAATGTTGATATGAGTCTTTTCCTTTCCCATTTTGGCTTTTAGGGGTAGTTTTCATGACCACCGTGTTCTGTTGGCAAGCCCGTTTAGGGGGGAAAAAAAGCGAGCTTCTCTTCTTAATTTTACTCACTACATCAGGAATGCTTCTTAATTACTTTTGCACCCCACAATGAATCACACAATCTAAAACTGAGTAAATGTTTAACAAAAACTGTGGAATAAATGACTTTAAAAATTAAAAAAAAACAACTGTTTGAGAGCATGTAGATAAGCTATGGTCATCCATTAAAGTGGAAGGTTTCCAATATATCTATTTTACCCCGAAGATAGTATGATAAAAATGGACATTTGGTAACCTTTTTTTTTCCTTCATTATAACTTCAACAATTTCTGCAATCTCTGCTCTTGTATTTAACATACTCAAGTGTCAATTGTGTGCCAGGTACTGAGCTACAGATTCTTTCGGCAAATTCACAATGCATCATGAGAAACAGCTGCATACATTACTTGGTATCGTTAAATGTGACTTTATACCTCCCTGGTGGAACCAAGGGAAGGAGTGATTAATTCTGACCAGGGGATTTGGGGAGAATTTTTCAGAAAACAGCTCTACACAGTTCCAAAGATCCACACCTTCCATATATAATAGCACAAAGATTCATATTTTGAAACTCTCATATAAAGGCAATATGAAGAAATATGTGATTTATTCACTAACGTCACTTTTCAAAGTCTCTCAAAAATAACTGAAGGCAGGCATTTCCCCAAAGGTTTGTTGTTATAGGTGTAATGTATAAGCCCTCTGTGGGGTGACTTGGGGCCCTTTTTGCAGACCTCATATCAGGTGTTAAATCTGACTTTTGCAAATGGATGCCACCATCACAGTATTCTTCTTAAACAGGTGATTTGAAATTAATCTTGTTGTCCTTTTCCCACTAATGCATTGAGGTTGTTACTTGTATCCTGAGGAAATTTACCACTAAAACATATGCTTCTTTTAGTTCAAATAGTGAGTAGAAAAGGCTGTAAATATATTTTTACTTTTAGGGGTGGGTTAGGGGATGGTGGTAAAAAATGAAAATTAAAATACTTTCAACATGTTTAATCTTTAATAATTACAATAACATATCTTTCTGCCTCATTGTTCTCTGCTCCAGAGTATTCCATAGATTCTGCCATGCCTGATCCATGTAACAAACATTTGTTGAATGAATTAATGCATGCATACGTAGATGAAATGGCTTATTTTTCCATTTGTTCTGAGCTTCAGAATTTTTCTTCAATTTACTAAGCTTTAAGGAAGTTAAAAAATATTAAAGAGAGCAACGGGGAAGGTTTTTGTTTTTTCTAGTCGTAGAGTGAATGCTGTCTTTGAGGCACTGAGGACTCAAGGTCAGGGAACGCTGTGACCTTCCGAACCTAGCACAAAGGTGGCCTTTTTTTCCCCTCCTTCTCTTCACTGGTTTCATGAGCTGGTGCCAGCTGAGTCTAGATGGTGCGCCTTTACACTTGAATGAAACACTCCCTGCCCTCAGTTCTGGGAGCTCCACTCTGCTGCCTCCATCTGCTGCTTCTGATAAATGCTCATATTTTAAATATATTGCTATCAGCTCACTCCCAAAGTGGTTTGCAGGCTCTCCATATAGCAAACAATCCCACTGGCACAGAGCCACCTTTTGAGTGGGACGAATTTGGGCAGACAGAAGACATATATCCCAGTGATGAGAGATGAGAGCGAAGACAGAGGAAATTGCCTGGAGAAGCTAGTGAAAAAGACCATGGCTGTGTCCTACAGGCGTATAGAGTCCATCAGAATCTGTGTAGGGCTCCAAAGCACCTCTATGGAGGGTGAGCACATCTGAAGTGTGGCCATTTTGAGCATGGAGTGGATGTGAAGTTTAAGAAGCGGCATTGCTTTTCTCTGATAACCTGTTAAACATTAGCCCGTTCTGCTGACAACACTCCATTATTAGCAACCTCCCGGAAACTAAGATACACAGGGATTTGCCTCCAGCCCTCACAGCCTCCTCCGGCACATATACCGTTTATGACACTCTTCCGAGTCCCCCTGCTAGTTGCAGCTGGCAGTTGCCTCCCTTTCAGTGTTTCTTCCTTCCAGCAACTTATCTCTAGCCAACACAATCACCACTTGCATTTGGGAGGATGGAGTAACACAGTGTGGAAGGTCTCCCTGAAGAACACGATCACGGCAGAAGCCACTGGGGTAGGCGTCATTCTCTCACAGTTGCAGAGTCATGGAATATTAGAGCTAGAAGGGGAGTTAAGGAACATTGAATCCAATTCCTTTATCCTAAAGGAATCTCAAATTTTCATGTCCCAAATGGATTCCTTATGCCCCTCCTCCTACCTACCTCCTCTTTCGGTTTTCCTCATTTCAGCAGTGTGACTCCACTTGCTCAGACCAAAAACTGTGGAGTATTTGGTCTGACAGCAAATCCTGCTGGCTCTACCTTCAAAACATAGCCAATATCTGACCCCTTCTTGCTTCCGCTACTGTTACAATTCTGATCCAAGATACCTTCATCTCTGCTCCAGATTATTGCAATAGCCAAAGGGTCAGCATGGGCAAAATCTGTCCTGTAAACTGCTTTGGTAAATAAAGTTGTATTGAAACACAGCCCAACTCATTAATTTACCTTATCTGTGGCTCTTTCATGGTATAATGACAAAGTCACGGAGTTGAAACATAGACCTTAGGGCCTGAACAAATATTTACCATCTTTTGCCCTTTACAGAAAATGTTTGCTAACCCCTGGAATAACCTATTAAATTCCATCCCCGCCTTCCCCCCCTCCCCACCCCATGACCTGTCTGATCTCATCGGCGCTGTTCTCCTGTTTCTCACTTTGGTCTGGCCACGCTGGCCACTCCCCCACCCCTTGATCTTCCTCTGTAAGCCAGGCATGCTCCGGTTGCCCGGCCTTGTATGGACCTTTCCCTCCGCCTGAAATGATCTCTACATTGACATCTGCCTGGCTTGCTCACCCTTTACTCCCTTTACACTCAAATGCTCTCTTTTAGTGAGCTTTCTCTGACCACCTTATTTAAAACAGCATCACACTCGCTGCCTTACTTCTCTCCATAGCATCTAACACCACTTAACATACCACATTTCCCCATGAGGGAGCTTGCATTTTAGTGGGGAGATGAGGAGAGCCAGTAGACACAATAAATGAGGTTTTGTTTTCCTGATAGACCCACAGTGTATAGGCATGCTCCAGGTATTTAATAAATGAATACATCCTTTGAAGCAACAGTGCTGTAGCAGAACGTAGCAGTGTCTGAGCGAGGATCTCCACAGACAGTTTGCTTATGGCAGTCACTAGGAACCATAGGCAGAAATAACTTGTGAAATGACCTGTGGACTTATGGAGGTATTTTATCTTCCATTTTCCCACTTCCCTTTTTTCATTTCATATCTTACCACATCACCAGGGTCCTCATGCTATTCCTTGAGTCTGTGGTTTTCGTTTCTACAACATTTCAGAACTTACTGTTTCCTCTTCCACCCGTCATTATTACCAAAAGAGGAAGCCTGGCACATTCTCTTCTAAGTTGATAGACTCATTAAAGCCCAAATAGTAATAAATAATAATGTCTCTACCTCATGGAAAATATTGAAACACCTTTCAATGCCTAACTCCAAAGAGGTAAGTGATATGGGAATTTCCAGCAGGCACTTGGCCTGGACCAGCTGGGGTAGTCATCAAGAGGTCCCTGAAGTAAAATCCAATCACAGCCCATGGACAGCTGTCTACTCTGTCTCTGCAGGGTGGGTGCAGCCATGGGTATGTCCCCCTCGGAATGTGCATGCACACACATATGCGGGAACCAATTAGGGACACTGGGAACACCTTAACTTCCATGGAAAAAAGCTGTCACTTATGTCACTTATGTTCACTACATATATACTATGGATTCTTTCCCTTGGCACTTTGATACCTTTTTGTCTAGCTTACAGTGCCACTAGTACAAAGCACTTCTTGGAAGAAAAAGGAATCCAGATAGGCGTAAGGAGCAGAGCCTGATACAGTTTGGCTGTGTCCCACCCAGATCTGATCCTGAACTGTAAGCCCCATAATTCCCACGTCTAAGGAGAAACCTGGTGGGAGGTGATTTGGTCATGCGGGTGGTTCCCACATGATGTTCTCATGATAGTGAGTTTGTTCTCACAAGATTTGATGGTTTCATAAGAGGCTCTTCCCTCTTTGCTACTCACCATTCTCTCTCTTGCCATGTTAGATGTGCCTCTTCCCTTTCTGCCATGATGTTAAGTTTCCTGAGGCCTCCCCAGCCATGCAGAACTGTGAGTTAATTAAACCTCTTTTCTTTATTAATTACCCAGTCTTGGGTATGTCTTTGTAGCCGTGTGAAAATGGACTAACAGATCCCCAAAAGGCAGGCAGGATGCGGTTTATCAGAGCACAAATCACAGGATTCTACTGGCCTTCTGGGGCCATACTTACCACACTCCAAAACACAGTGAGAGCTCTGAAGGTGGAGAAGAGAAAAAGATTAAGAAGCACAACTTTTTCACTTTAAAAAGACAAAAAATAATCTCGATTCTCAGACTGTGCTGTGCAAGAAACCAGTGGACTTTCTCAGGCAATTCAGTACTATCAGACAAAATTAAGAGAATCATCCAAACTACCAAGGATTTATCGGTTAGGTCTGACTGATCTGCCTGTCAAGAGCCTTGTTCTGTCTCCAGGGAATGCAGCACTTATGTAAGCCCTGCGTAGAGAATATGCTTACCTTTCAAGGACAGGACAGGTTAGGATGAGCTCTTTACCTTAGTGTACCAGGTACAGCTCCAGGTGGTCTTGACCAGGTGGCCATCACAAATGAACGTACCATTTTCTTTGGAAATTACGATAGAGTATGACTCATTTCTCCCCCACTCCACACACTGCCACGTAGGACCCACTGAATTTGCCACCTGGTGAAATGGTTATTGATCTGTCATTCCTCCAGGGGATCCCCTAGTTTCATTTCCTTCATTCTCTAGACAAAGAGACACAATTGTGTAACCATATAGACACTTTCTGCATTTTATCAAAATGGCATCTTGTAAATGAAAACTCACAAGAGACTAGCACAGATGTCAGATACAAAGTACTTTGATGGACGCACACAAAAAAAGGCATTTTGTACACGACAGTGAAACCAGTTTCTTAAAGTATTTCTAAACTCACCGAATATAGAACTAAAGAGATCCTCAAGCCACTTTGAAGTACACATTGGCTTCTATCTGAACAAAGGTAGAACATGTGCTGCTTTAACAGGAGATGTGAGAGACCCTGCTGTCCACATGAGAGGTTTCACTTGCAGCCGACTTGCTTCTGTCTCCTGGGTGCTGCACAGCCCCGACTAGCACCTGTGACCTGCAGCTAACACAAAACACCCAGGAGGCCAGGATGCAACTTGGGTTCACAGGGATTCTCCACTTTACTACAGGTGGATCCCTCCCGACCAAGCAAAGGGGACAGAGGAACTGACGATACTTTTACCAAGATAAATCATGTCCCAGCAGGCCACTTGTCTTCTGAGGTCAGACACTAAGCCAGTGGCTCTCAAACTTTAGCATGCCCCAGAATCACCTGGAAAACTCAATAAAACACAGATAGCTGGGCCACACTCCAATGTGTCTCCTGCAATAGGTTTAGGGCTGGACCCAAGAATTTGCATTTCCAAGTTTCCGGGTGCTGCAGATGCTGTAAACCCAAGTAGCACCCTTTGAGAACCACCCCTTTAAGCTCAGTGTGAGTCTAACTTTTTTCTTTCCTGCTACCATTGTGGTTCCCAGGCCCTGTGGCTGGGGAAGAGATGAAGGAAGATGCAGCTTCTGCAGCAGGAGTTGGCATGTGGGAGCGGTCAAACTCAGGGGCTGTTCAAGATAGATCAGTGAGGGGGACGGGGCCTGGAATCAGGCAGCCTTTCTCATGATTCCAGACACGTCTGTCTGTCGTCTGACAGTTCAAACATGGTTTATCCATTTCACTTTTAAATCCCCGCTAATGAGAGTCTGAGTCCATTGGCCCACACCCACAGCAATGAGATCAGTATTAGAGAAAAGAAGATTGGCAGAAGGGCTCAGAGAGCTCATGTAGTAGCATCAATAAACAAACATCATGAGGCACAGTTTCTCAAGCGGTTTTGCACACGTGGTCACAGCAGGGCAGGGAAGGGTGTACCTAGAGAGCCCTGTGTGGGCAGAAAACCGTTTTCTCAGCAGACATTCCTAGCTGCTTCTGGTGGAGGATTCATTTGAAATTGTCAGTCTGAAAGGCAGACCGCTACTCTGCAGCTCATTTCAGAGAACACCCATGTGCTCAAGCCTTCATTTTCTTTTCCTACAAAACTTGTCCCTCCAAGGATACAAAAGGCAGTCTTTGGAGATCTATTTATTTCTATACCTTGGCCCCAAAGAGGAATTAGGGTGCAGTAAAATGTTGCCAATGGAGCTGGGATGAAAAGAAACAATGAGTCTGGAGAGAGCTTTTGGTCAATTCGAAGGTGTTTGTGTGAGTAAGGAAGTAGGGACTTAAGGGGCTGCTGGCAATATCTTTGAAGGGATGGGCTGTGGTCATTAACTACCGTACATTGTATCCTTCAGGAGGGATGAGGCATTTACTTCTGTTTATATTATGTTTCCTTTGAAGGTCAGCGGGGGCTCTGCTCTGCCTTATCTTCACTCCAGGACCTAGGCTGAGGGGGCAGCTGCTGTCTGAGCATTGCTGATTGCCATGGCAGAGGGAAAGAAAAAAAGAAAAAATTGCATGCTAGGCCTAGAAACTTTGGTCCAGATGTACATGGTTATCGGGAGTTGAATGTTATCCACCCTACCCCCTCTACAAATTCATGCCCACCCCAAACTTCAGAACATGATCTTTATTTGGAAATAGGGTCTTTGCAGGTATATGTAGCAAAGAATCTCAAGATGATACCTACATTGGTCCCTAAATCTAATGATGGATGTCCTTTTAAGAAGAGGCAAGCACACACAGACAGAGAAGACCCTGTGAAGACAGTGGCGGAGACTGGCGTGATACTGCTCAAGTTTAGTAATGCCAAGGGCTGCCAGGCTAGGAAGGAAGGATTCTTCTCAGGTGCCTTCGGAGAGAGCATGGCCCTCAGAATAGTGAGAGAATGAACTTCTCTTGTCTTAAGCCTCCTGTTTATGGTAATTTCCTATGCTCTCCCCAGGAAATGAACACACTGGCCCAAACAAGTCCCATTGCCATACCTGATTTCAACGGCATGGGGAAGGACAGTCTGACAGTGCTGGATAATCTCTCTCAGATCCACTCTCTACTTTCCTATACTCTGCTCTGAGCCTGGAAAGTTAAAATTCAAGAATTGTATAAACAGACTCCCCTTTCCTCTGGCGTCTGGTTAAGATTTGCCAATAGAGGGGGTTCAGAGGGAGGGAAGAGAGTGAAGTCATGTACTTTGCCACCTACCTCCCTGCCAGGCTGGTTGTAGCGGTGTTCCACTATTGACGGCCACAGCTCCAGCCAGGCAGCCCCTCCTTTAGTTTCTCCTTTCTCTTGGGGTTCTGGTAACACTTCTTCCCTGTACTCCTCTAGGAACGGGGTACAACAGCTATTGTTAGCCAACGTGCTCCACCATCCCTTGTTGGTTTCCCATTGCCCCACTCACAACCTTGCAGACAGTCCTTTTACTAATCTCTCCTCAATAACTTCACTTGAGTGTGCCATCTGTTTCCTGCTGAGACCCAGCAGACACACACACCATGTACCCAGGAGGAGAGTCAGACATCTTTGATGGACACAGTGACAACCTTGCTAAATTGGGAAGCAGCTCTAGTGCAACCAATGGTGGGAAATGCAATGAGAGTGGCGGGTCACACGATGGCTTTGCTTCCACCCCTCCCTCTCTGGCAGAGGAAGGAATGTGAGCTCTGAAGCAGGATTCAAACCCCAGATTCCCCATTTATCAGCGGTAATAGGAACCTCGCTGAACTCCAGCTTGTATACACATATGATGGGTATAACAATGCTTCCTTTACGAGGCTCTTGTGTGGATTAAGGAAGAAAAATATGAAAAAAACAAAACAAACAAACAAAAAAAGCCTAGCTGTTGTAGGTAGAATAATGTCCCCCAAAGAGTTCCAAGCCCCAATCTCTGCAAACTTGTGAATATGTTACTTTACATGGCAAAGAGACGTCTCAGTGTGGATGTGATTGAGATTACCGACCTTAAAATAGGAAGATTATCTTGGATTACCAAGGGGGCCCATCTAATCACTTGAGCACGTAAAGGCAGAAGTGGAAGGCAGAAGAGTTGGTCAGAGATGAGGCACAAGAAGCAGAGACAGAAGATATCCCGTGTCCGAAGAATTTAATATGGCACTCCTAGTTCTAAGGTGTGCAGGGACTACCTACAGTGACTCAAAAGAGGCCTCTAAATACCAAAGGAGGCGCCCAGATGGCAGCCAGCAAGGAAACAGACCTCAGTCCTACAGACATTGATTTCTGCCAACTACTTGGATTAACCTGGAAATGGACTCTCCCCTAGAGCCTCGGGAAGGGAAAGCAGCTCAGCGAATGCCTGATTCAGTCTTGTGAGACTTGAAACAGAGAAACCAGCTGAGTCTACTGGACTTCTGACCTACAGAACTGTGAGATAATAAATGGGTGTTGTTTTAAGCCCCTAAATTTGGAGTAATTTGTTATGGCAGCAATCGAAAGCCAATCCACTAGCATAGTGAGGTCTTGGTGCATGGTATATGCCCACTGCATGTATGTTATCTGCTCTCAAAGAGGAGAGGCAGGCAAGTTACAAAGGGGCCCTCTCAGGACCCAAAAGAGTATATGCTCTCAAAGAAACAAGCCTGCAAGCGATTTACAATGTAACACGGAACCCAGCTTTCTCTAGTGCTTTCAAGGGCGCCCTACCTGAATGGTCTCCAGCAGCAACTGCAGAGGGAGGAGTAGAGAATGTTGTGCATCTTGTTATTCATTTGATGAAAACTCGTAGCAGATCACATAGTCTTCTCTGTGGCAGGATACCCCGTTCCTAAAACCCTCGGTCCTATTACCCCTCTACCTTGAGGCAGTTTCTGCTTCTAATATTTACCCCTAATCAAAGCACAGGCTAGTAAAAAAAAAATTATTTCCTGCTGCTGGAGCCTTCCTTCTGTTCCCCTAAGCCAAATCCATCTCTCCACCCCCACAATCCCATACCAGTATCTTCCAGCTCCCTAACTATCCAAATCTAACCCTTGACCAGACAGCACAGACAGACCTTCGTTGCTCGACTGCTTTATTTGATGACTGGGGCTCCTATGCCTATTTAGCTGGGTCAAGTTGAAACAGCATCCTAGGAAGCTGGGCTTTGAGCTAGGTGTCAGAGACATGGGTCCATTAGCATTTTATCGCCAATGAAATGCAAAGAACAAGCAAATTAAGGGCTAGCCAATAGGCATAGACCTGTGCATCTAACGTCAATCAAAATTGTTGACGCTTCTTCAACTCAAGGTGCTCCTTCAAGGCTCCGGACCAGCAACTGGTGATTCTTTTGATCATATTTTCACTGCCCTTCTAGGAGACCAATCTCGCTATGTAAGACGATTATTATAATGAGGGCTAATATTTATTGTGCGCCTGCTGTGCCTCTGGCACTGTTCTACACAACTGTAAAGGTGTTAACTTATTAAATTCTCAAGCCATTTTCAAAAGTTAATTTCTATTATTTTTATCAACCTTGCTTTACAAATGAGTCCTTAGAAAACAAGGACTCAGAAAGGTTAAATAATATGTGCAAGGTTAACAGGTAATAAGTGGCTTGAGCTGTAACTCGGACCTAGGCTGAAGTGACTCTGTATTCTCCACACCACACTGAGTTTTTTTTGATTGATTCGACACATGTAGGTCTCCAGCAGGCACTATGTTTGACTTTGGTGATTGTGATGGCTAATTTTAGGTAAAAACCTGCCTGGATTAAGAGATAGGTGGTAAAGGATTATTTCTGGGTATGTCTCTGAGGGTATTTCCAGAGGATATCGGCATGTGAGTTAGTGGACTGAATTGGGGGGATCCTCCTTCAATGTGGGTGGGCACCATCTAAAAGGCTGGTTGTCTTGATAGAGCAAAAAGGCAAGGAGGGGGCTCTCTTGCCTGTCCTCTGGAGATGAGACACCCTTCTTATTCCCGTCCTTGGCCACCAGAACTCTAGGTTCTCCAGCCTTGGAACTCTGAGACTTGCACCAGTGGCCTCCTGGCTTCTTAGGTCTTCAGCCTCAGAGTGAGAGGTGCGCCAAGGGCTTCCCTGGTTCTGAGGCCCTCCATGCTACTGGCATCCCTGGGTCTCCAGGCTTACCGATGGTCTACTGAGGAACTTCTCAGCCTCCATAATCACATGAGCCAATCCCCCTATCTCTCTATCCTATTAGTTCTGTCTCTAGAGAACCCTGACTAATACAGACATGCCAATATACTCAGGACAAGTTTCATTTTCTCCAAGCTAACGTGATAGAAGAGGAAACTATCGTGTAGAAACAAGTATCTACTGACACATTTTGTAAGCAGTATGAACAAAGCATCATGGGAGAGATAACTAGACCCATGAAGTGATGAAGAATCACAGCAAAGAGGAAAAGTAGGATTGAGAAAGGCTTCTGGGAGGAAACGATGTTTAATCTTGGCCTTGAAAGATGAGTTGGAATTCTTTGAGTTGAGGAGCAAAGAAGAAAACATAAGGGAGAATTATGAGAAGCAGAGCAAACAATGCGAAGCACAAAAGCCTGAAAGTAGAATGGCCCAGGCTTGGAATAATGCAGTGTTGCTAGTGTTGCCTGGCCATGCAACAGATGTGAGCTTGCATTCCATTGGCCAGAAGTATTAACAACTTAAGAATCTTAATTACAATAAAAGCACATATTCAGAGACACTAAGACGAAAGAGATAATACTCAGAAACTACAACCAGCCGATGACTGATAAGCCAAAAATAGGAACTTAATGATGCTAAGAACCTCTAATATATCAGATCAACTCCAAGGTTAGTTCAATAGTTTCATTCACATATGTTTACACAACACCCTTTTATGCTGGCTGCTTTTTCAGACACTGATGGAAGATATGGTTCCTGACCCTGAGAGGTTTATTTACTCATTCAGCCACTTATTTATTCGCTTATTCTGTTTATTCTTTTAACAATCATTTTTTGAGTACCTACTATGTGCCAGGCAAAGGAGCCAGCAGTAAAGAAGACTCATATGGTCCCTCCCCTCATTGAGCTTATAGTCTAGGAAGGAGTTATTACCCACCAGGAAGACAGCTATATAACAGACAAGTTCAATAAAATATAGTAAATGATACGCACCAAAATAAGACTACAACACAGAGAAGGGCACTTAACTTACATTGACATTATCTTGGGCCTTGGTTTACTGTGGGATCCTTTGCTGTTATGTTTCCTATAGCTGAAAGATGCATCTGGCCCTACACAAAGCACAGACCATGAGTAGGTGGGCACATAGACTTCTAAGCCAACCGTCAGGGGCACCAGGAGACAGCACTGTCTCATGCCTCTGCTTGACCTACCACCATGGGGCAAAAACAGCACTCGCTGAATGAAAAGTTACAATAAGGATACAATTGTATCTACACAAACTTTTTAAGATATGATCACATCAATACCTACTATGTAGTAGGAGCTTGATGTTGTGTGGGGAGGAAGATAAAAGTAGATGTAACATTCAGACAGAGGTGAGGGAAAGGGAAATTTTTTTATGCATTGAGAGAGGAAGTTTGTGATTTTTTTCACTGGCATTGGAGCTAGGGAGACTTCAGTCCGACCACAGCCTCTCCCTGAGCTTGTGACCAAGCCTCACTTTTCTCATCTATAAAGGTAACAAAAGTGATTTTTGTAAGTTTACTTATCTGTAAAGGGGAAACTATAACAACTTGGATATTATAGGGTAAAAAGAAAAGAGGATGAAAATGAGCAAAAGGGAGAGAGACAAACAAGAGAGCAGTGTCACATGTAACTGGGCAGAGTGCTTACCATGCCTCTCTCCCTTTGTTTACTCATCTCAAAAAGGGAGATCATAACCTTTACCCTTTCTGAGGTTGTTATGAAGATTAACTTAGGTGATATAGCGAATGTGCATTTCCTCTGTTCAAAACATTCTAACATGTATTATCCCCTCCCTCTCTACCCAAGAAACTCCTTACATACAGATAAGGTGAGCTCAACATACAAATTAAAATGCTTGGAAAAGTTAAAAGGGAAACCTTTAAAATGATGAAACACTGAAAGGGCTTAAGGTTATCTCAGAGAGAGGGTAATCAAATCTAGGCAGGCTGCTTTGGAATGTCTCTCCTGGGATAGGCCTCCTCTTGCCCCACCACCAAAACATATCCCAGCTAGATTCCCGGGAGCAGCAGTGGTCACCCAGGTGGCCTCTCATTCCATTTTCTGCACAAAAAGACATTAAGCACATAGCTCAGTAGCTCCCAGTGTAAAACAGAACATCACCCGATTTCTACCTCTGAAGGTTGGGGACAGTCCTTTCTAGTCACTCTTCAGCTTCAGGGGGGTTGGTTGGTATCAGGGACAGCTGACAGCCTTATTTAGCCAACCAGCTGCTCTGTGATACACAATGTCCCTAATGCTGAAAGTCTGGTGGATGATTCTTTTGTATCCACATAAGCAGCAGTTGGAGGAGAATCGATGAGTCCCTTTGGTTGCCTCAGGGTGTCAAGGCTGCCATTCAAATCATTACCACCATAATTATTAACCATTGTTTTAGTGAGATGTCTGCCAGACAATTGTTTTCTTTATTTTTTAATCATTAAAAACGCAATCAAATTTCACTAAAGCAATGCTTGCCTCAAGTCGCATCAACACATTTATTAAACCCCTTCTGTTTGCCGAGTTCAATGGAAAGTCTTGGAGGAGGGAATACTTAAAATGCTCTCGGATTTAAAAGAATTGATACTGCTCTGGGGAAGAGGTTCACACATACACACAAACAATTACAGGAAGAAGCTCGATAGTATACAATACACTGGTACAGAGTGTCATAGACAGTGCCACTTTCATATGCTGGATTTTATTTCTGTGGCAATGGGGTACTTGGGAGGAGCCGCACTGTGTAGAAGTTTTGGAGAAATAGGGTACTGTGGTAGGAAATTGCCTTCTTTCCCAGCAGGTAGTTGGAAAACAATCAAGGGGGTGGACAGGATGTGCACCCCATTAGAGCAGCCACCAGAGCCTGACTTTTTGACAGGAGAGTACATCAAAGGATAACTGTTAAAAGTAACTTTAAAAGGACTTTTGCATCAGGACGAATGCTGTGGCCTCTGTGATTCAGCGATAAATTTAAAAGGCTTGTCCCTATTGTGGCTTGCGGCCACATGTCCAACCCATTTTTCAAGCATGTTAAACCGAGGGCCGCACGTGCGGCAGTCACGAACCAAGCTCAATAACCTTGCTGGTGGGGATGTGTTGGACACGCTGCTAATGCCCGTTTGCCACAACGCTCGCTAGTCCCGGCGGTGGCGGTGTTCACGGGTAACAATGTTTACCACCGGGAATGAAACTTGTTTGATTAACCCTGATCAGAGGATGAAAACACTAAAGAACCAAGTGAGAAAGAAGAGAACCGCATAGAAACGGCAGAGCCAGGGGGCCAGCAGAATACGGAACTCGCCAGGGACAAGCGGAAGCTCCCTGCGGGCAGGGACCCGGCCACCGCCCAGCCCTGGGCGTGACGGCCTCGGACTCAGGGACCGCGGAGGAAGCGGCGAGACGCCCCCACGCGGGGTGCGCTTCGTGCCAGACGGCGGCGTTCGGGGGAAATGGGCGCAGGTGAAAGCCCAGAAGGCGGCAGGGTCCACGCGCGCAGCCAGACTTCGGGTCCAGGGAGAGGCGCCGGCTGGGGCGGGGCGGGGCGGGGCGGCGCCGGGGGAGCAGCGCTTGGCAGGGCCCCTGGAGCGGGAGGGTGGGAGCGAAAGCAGAGACGGAAAAAGTAGAGCGAGAGGACCGAGCGGCGGCGCCGCGCGAAGGCACGGACGGACCTGCGGGAGAGGCGCGTGCGGCGGGGTCCCGGGCGAGCGTGGGAACACAGCGCTCAGCCTCCGGCGGCGGACGAACGCGGCCCCAGGGGCGGGCGGGTGCGACAGGACGTGACCGGGAAGCGCGGCGCGTGCCACCGCCCGGGAGCGGGCATCCGGCCTCCGCGGAGCGGGCGGGCGCCGGGACTGAAGCCGGCGGCGGCTGGGGCGGGGTGGGGGAGCACGGCGTCAACAGCCGCGGTGGCGGGGCGGGGCCGAGCGCGCGTGCGCGGCCGCGCGGGCGGGCGGGGGAGCGGGAGGGAAGCGGCGGGAGCGAGCGTGCGCGCGGCCGGGCAGCCTGGGCAGCGGGTCCTGCCTGTGACGGGCGGCGGCGGTCGGTCCTGCCCGTAACGGCGGCGGCGGCGGCGGCGGCCCCAGACACCTGCGGCGGCGGCGGCGACCCCGCGGCGGGCGCGGAGATGTGGCCCCTGGTGGCGGCGCTGTTGCTGGGCTCGGCGTGCTGCGGTGAGTGGCTCCTCGCTCCCAGCCCTGCGGCTGCTGTCGCTTCGCCCCCGCGGGCATGTGGGCTGCGCCCTCAAGAGGGTGGCCGGGGCGCAGAACGCTCGGGCCTGAGCGCCCGGAGTGCGGACGCGGGAGGGCCCCGCGGGGAATCGGGCGCCGCCTTTCTTCCTCCCTTCCTTTCCCTGGTCGTCTTCTTCCCCCTGGGCGACAGCGGGGCTCAGCTCCTCCACCCGGTTCTCCATCTCCAAATGCACACGCAGAGGACGACTCCAAACCGCGCACCTCGCGCAGAAATTAACTAGGAAGAAAGGGCGCGATCGCAGGCGAGGGGCTGCACCTGCCAGGGACCCCCTTCATTCGCACCCCTCTCCCTCCTCTGTGCTTAGACGCCTTTGGGGTTGAGGGAGGGAGAGTGGGAGGGCTCGGGCCTCTTGTGATGGAAGTGCGTATTTTGGCGAAGTCGGCGAGAAGGGGTTTTTGCTGTTTGCCTCCCACATGAACACAGGAGCGAAGAGGATGTAAAGGACACAATTAAGTTTCATTTTCAACTCAGCATTCAATCAGAAGAATCTTCCGGCCGTGTAATTTTTGCTTTCGTTCTTAATCCTAAAAATAAGCTTCCTGGAAACTATTTCTTTCTCGTGACCCCCCACGCCCCATCAGCCACTTTCATACATTCCAAATTGTACGTTGAAGTTTTTCCCACTTTATTTGGGGGAACCGTTTAAAAGTAATCTGGATTTCGCCTGAAATAGGAAGACAGTAACCTCCAGTCAAAACATGTGCCATAGAATGGGAGTTGGTGTCTTCCGACACCAAAGAACCTCCCCCCCACCCCCACCCCCCGCCACCCCCCCGCCACCCCCAAGCTTTTGGAATCCATTTCGCTTTTGTAAAACGTGTGCTTCGACTGTAAAAACAGCAAGGAATAGAAACATTCGTAGATCTACAGTGTCTGTCACACTTCACATCTATAGAGCCTTTTGTGAACTTTTGTAAGATTCAGAATTGAGCTTGAGTACCAGTAACGGCAATTGTTACGTTTATCCTAGAATGCTAAATTAATTCCATTTTAAACTAATTATTAGCCTCAGTGTGCCGTTCCTAAAGGTTATTTCCATGATACCCTTAAGTCTCTGCTTACCACTTTCCTCCCTCCCCACGCATCCTGGATTTTGGGGCTGTGAATCAAGATCTCCGTTATCTAAATGGTTGATTTTAGATAGTGTTTCCTGTCATCACGTTTAGTATGCTTGTTGCCTTCACTGTCATTACAGCTAAAATAATACTGCTTTCAGAGATGTGTTGTATAATCGCATCATAATTTCAGAACGCCTTCATATTAAACCAGATATGAAGTGATACAATATCACTTCTTCAAACTGGCCAAAATAGTAAAAAATATAAACCATATGCTGTTTTTAAAACAGGCAAATTAGATTTAAATCAAGTAGATAGAACTGTTGGAATGGTTCTTTGAGGAATAGGATTTGGTAGGCCCTCTTTGGTGATAGTTAATATTATTAACTAGCGCTTGTTTACACACAATTTTAATGTATTCAAATCCCTAGAGTCATATAATTCAGAATTTAGAGTATTTTATTTTACTTAGTTAATATTAACCTGAAAAAAAAAAAAAGCAAAATGCAGGCGTTATGCAATTGAGTTCTGTTAAGTGTGCACTGTAAAGCAGGAAGTGATTGTATTTGTCATAAAATATATTTTTATGTGTTTAATATATAGCTTCAAAAGGACATGTATGAAGAAAGATGTCTCAGCACACAAGTAGTTGTAAACCAAGGGACTTGAGAGACTGACTTTATCTAGAAGGAGTAAGTCATGGATTTGTACATTCATTTGTACTGAAGTTTCATTTTGCATTCATTTTCATTAATTAAGCCCAGGGAATCAGGGACCTTTCCTGGCAACCTCTACAGTGTTACTGGCCTTTGTGATAAAATAACTCATCTCAGATACTCATTTCGTGCAATTACAGGCAAACTGCAACGCACCTTAATGGATTGCAAGATGTGGAATGAATTACTATGTTGCTTTCCACTCTGCCCCCACCTTATGTTCAATTATACTTTGTTTAAAAGTGCATCCAGTTTCAGTGGTATTAATTAGCTAGCAAATAAAACCTTAAATAATAATGGTGTTGTGAACTGTCTTTTTAGTGGTTGGATTTCTCTTTGTTCAAAATGAGCTTTTTTTTTTTTTTAATCGGGTACATATGATTAAAATTTTTTTCATTGTCTAGTAGTAAGTAATTTGGCTTAAATGAAAATGTTTTCTTTTCTCTTAAAGAATATATATATATATTTAAATACAAAGTGCCATTTTAAGGAAGTAAATGCCTATTTAAAAGTACTTATTTATGGGGCCGCCCCAGCAGTCTAGAGGCAGTGTTTTTTAAAGCATTACACTAAATGCCTACCATTAGGACACTTGCTCATGCTGTCATCTGCGTTTTGGCAGATGTTTTATCTTTGCCACTGAGTTGTTCATGGAGATTTGAAAGGCCAATTTCTAAAGATGAGAAATAGATGACTTTCCCTCCAAATTGATGCACGTTCTGAATCTACAATAATCACTCATATTAGCAAAACTAGATTTGCATTTCATAGTATGAATTCAGCTATAGCCAGTATAGGCATTGTTTTAAATACAGTAATGTTCTTTTTGTGACAGAATTTTCAATCATGTTCTCTGTCTTTTAGGTTTCTGCTGTCCTACCTTTTTAAACAAGATAAACATTTCTATTTTCATATCTTATCTCTCAGTCTGATTTTAATAATATTGTCTTGGGTTGTCATAAAGTTACCTTCACTTTGTATACTAGTGCAGATATTTCTTCTGTGATAAAAAGAACAAGAATAATAGTGTAGAATCAGTTTTCTTAAAGTCATTATATTACTAAAATAAAAAATACAGAGCACCCAGGAAATTTGATTCTGATATACCTAGGCTAAGACAATAGAACCTGGCTTTTCCTTTCTATGGTTATACAGTGTTGAAGCAGAAATCAAGCTACACCCACCTCTGAATATTTCATTCCAAATCCATGGAGCAGTTGCGTAAGACTTAGGATCTGGTCAATTTCATGGTTTGAGATTTAGCTTAGGAGAATTAATGTGCATATTTGAATATGTCTAGGTTATAGGTTAAAACACTTATAGGTTAACACTTATAGGTTAAAAAGTAAGGCAAGGGGTTTGGCAAGTTCAATGTCTGTCAAAACCACTTTTTCCATTTCAAGCAAGTATGAGCCTATCCTATGCACCAAGTACTTTGCAAAGCCCTCTTTGACATACACACAAATTTCAGACAGTATGTCTCTTAATGACTTAAAATGTAGTATATAGACAGTAGATACATTTTGTTTTTATCCCCTGATGGTACTTAGGTGCTTGGTAGGGCCATAATTCTAGATGTTACTGACTTTAAACTGCCCTGCCCCCTGTAATTCTAAGTTGGCCTCTTCCAGTCTTATAAGGCCACTTTTAAATTCATTAGGAGGGTTGCTTTGGGTCAGAATTAAATAAAACTTGTGGATACCCCACTCTACCCCAGACCTTTATTTTAGCCTCCATTGAGGAGAGATCTGACTTCGTCCTTTCTGTACATAACCCAATTTAGTTAAAGACTCCAGTTCTTCAATCCAGACACTAGTTCTAAGGGCAAAAATAGGTAGGATTCCTTTCTGGCATATATCTTTACTGATGATCTTTGCTTCTTTACCTTAGAGGCTGCTGAGGCTTCTTACCCTATTCCTGAACATGCATTCCCAGAAGATAATTAACTTCCTACTCTACTGCAAAAAATAGTGGTGTGTGGTTTGGACTCCCTCAGCTTCCCTCCCACCATTACTAAACTGATCTATAATCTCTTAGCTAACCTTCATCCCATTCTCTTCCCTTATCCAGCTTCAGAAGAATACCTACTCACCTTTCCATGGAAAGGACAAACTGTCTACTACTTTTTCACTTCCACCATCTTGGAGACCTGCTCAGTCAGCTTAATTCTTCCGTCTTGCATCTTAGATCTTTCCGTCTCCATTGACTCCTTTCCCTTTGCTTGCACACATGATCAAATTTTACCCCACGTCAAACAATAAAACAAAAAACCTCAAGAAACAAAATGTCCTTGCCCTTGTCCCTGCCTCCACATCCTCCGTTGTTGCCTTCTCTGCTTTCTTACACTGCCAGATTTATTGCAAAAGAATCACTGCCACTTAATATGTTTTAAGTGCTTGATAAAGCCATCTTCTTTCTCTGTTCTCTTTCACTTGTCAAACATAGTGTGCATCAGATTTCACTAGGCCATTGACATGGCCACAAATGATGTTCTAACTTTCCATCCAGAGGCTGTTGTTACTCAGCCCACATAACATCTATTTTGTCCATATGAAGACTGTGTCTGCAATGATATTTTTTGCTGTCTCTCCTGCTTCTATCACTTCTTTTCCTTGCTTCCTTAGTTTATTCACCTTTGACTATTTGTTCCATAAATATTGGTGTTTTCCAAGATTTTATTAGAGAATAATAAACCACCTGCTCTGTTTGCTGTGCAAGGACTCTCTGTGCAATCTTTTTTATGCTCATGGTTTCAATATTCTTGGTGGTGACTCCCAAGTCTTTATAGTTCTGACTTCTCTTCTTCAATTCAGATTCATATGTCCTGGAACCTAC